TCTTTTTTGTTTCCCTTTTCAAAAATCAAAAGCTCTGCGCATATTCCCAATCTATTCAAATCTGTTTTTTTCTTTGGTTTTTTCATAAAACAGTCAAGATCAACATCTAATTGCTTTAATTAGTGGCTTCACTAAGAAATTAACCCTTGTTCTTTGAGTCAAGGGTTAACATCATGGAAGCTTGGTAATTGAGTAATTGATAACAAATTGAGTAATTAATCACAAATTTGGTATCTGTTAACTCTCCCCTTGTCATAATTTGTAGTGATCAACACGATTATCTGCAGAGTTAAAGGGCTTTACGTAATTTATTTATTTATTTTCTCTACTGGAATCTGCGTATGCTAATTTAGGTGGGCTTTGAAATCTTGCAGTGGCATATCCTCCCCCACCAACATCAACTTATCCTAGTGCATATTCAGGCCCACCACCAGCTGGCTATCCTACCATGGATGGTCAATCCGACCAGCAAAATCCTATTCCTGTGAAGACGAAATCCAGGGGTGATGGCTTCTGGAAGGGATGGTAAGCCCACTTGTCTTGATCTTTCTCTAGTATATTCATTTCTTGAATTACATTGATCCTGCTGAAAACTCTCGATTAAAACTTTGATTACAGAAAAATTATAATTTATAGTTTTTTAAAATAATTTTTCTTTCAAATCATAACCGCAAAGGCCCACGTCTACACGCAGTTCAAAGCTGGCGATGTCAAAAACACGTTGTGTTTTGAATGTTCTAATTCTTGGCTCTTTCATCTTGCAGTTGTGCTGCCCTGTGTTGCTGTTGTGTCTTGGACGCTTGCTTTTGAGGAACGTTGCTTTATTTGTGCTTTGTACCTTCCTTAGATGTGCTTTTCTGGATTACATTGTAATAGAATGGGACCGTGCAGATTGATTTTATTTGCCACTTTGATGCAATAAATTATTTATGTACAATGATTTGATTTGTTGTCTGCCTTCCATTTCACTTCGCTTGCCGATATGTAGATCATGTAAAATGCTCAATATATTTGTTTATGGATTAGTGACAACAATCTATATAGTTGTGGATTTTTCATAAGTGAACCATTCAGAATGCCCAGCATATTTGTTCATGGATAAATGAGATGAAGTTAACACCCTCATTTTCATCTATCTAAAAGTTTAAGGAGTTTAAGTTATCAAGTGAAATTATATAATTTAACTTGTATTATTTATTAATAAATCATTTTGAATAAAAAATTTTTAAACTTGAAATTTTTACAAACATATATTATCTTGTATTATTAATTAATTGTAACTAAGAGAGAGAATGAAAATAATAAGATTTGAACTCATAACTGTTTAATAAATAAAAAACTTATATTAAAAAATTATCTTAACTTACAAATTTAAGTTATTAGATGAGATTCTCAAATCTTATTTATATTAAACTCTGACAACACAAACAACCTAACAAGAAAAAGCTTATAAATTTTGATATAATTATTGAATCAAACTCAAATTTTATCATATATTAATATTGATTTTTGATCTATTTAAAAAATAAGAAAATTTTTAAAGAGATGAATTACATTGAAAAAAAATATTCAAATTCAATCAATTTTATTCATTTTTCAATTGATATTTTTCTAATGTTGTTCATGTCTACATTAAAATCATAATCAGATATAATTTAAGAGTGGAAAGCACGTGTTACATATGCACTACTTCATTTAACATTTATTTAATCAAACCTAACATTGTTTGGGAGGTTTTTGGAAGAAATAAAGATATTATTTTAATAAAAAATATATAATTGATTTAAAATAAAACCAGGCACATGACAGATTTCTAGTTGACTTATGAGGGGTAATAAATTTGCCATCAATATACACTTATACAGTGAACAACTAAACGAAGCCCGGCCCAGTTTGTAATTGAAAAATACAGCCCACACGCAGATGTAGCTAAAGCTAGGGTTTCCATTTCTCTATAAACACACACCGCCCTCTCTCCATCTCTAGGGTTTAGAACAGCCACAGAAAGTAAAGAGGGGAGAAACCCTAAGCCGCAGCGACAATGGTGAAGTTTCTGAAACCCAACAAGGCCGTCATAGTCCTCCAAGGCCGGTATGCTGGTCGCAAGGCAGTGATCGTCAAGCACTTCGATGATGGAACCAGAGACCGCCCCTATGGTCATTGCTTGGTCGCAGGGATCAAGAAGTACCCAAGCAAGGTTATAAAGAAAGACTCGGCCAAGAAAACAGCAAAGAAATCGAGGGTCAAGTGTTTTGTTAAGGTTGTTAACTATCAGCACCTGATGCCTACTAGGTATACTTTGGATGTGGATTTGAAGGACCTTGTTACTCCTGATTGCTTGGCAACTAAGGATAAGAAAGTCGCGGCTTGTAAGGAAACAAAGACAAGGTTCGAGGAGAGGTTCAAGACTGGGAAGAACCGATGGTTTTTCACCAAGCTGAGGTTTTGAAGGAAGGAAAATGGTGCCGGCTCTAAGGTTTTGTTTGGTTCTAATGTGTTATTTTTAGACATTTTTTAAGGAGCATTGTTAAGGTTTTGTAGCTTTTTATGGTGCTAGTTTGGATCTGCTTGCATTTAGTTAATTTTGGAATTATTAATATAAATTGCACTCTTAATGTCTGGTGTTTGATTGTCTGTTCATGTGATGATTTTTTGATGTTAGCTTTACGGGCTTTATTTGATTTGGTGGCATGATGTTTTTGGTTTCGGTTTATTGCAAATCTACCTGCGAATGTGTTAGTGTGTTCTTCCCTTGATTGACTTTAGAAGGGGTTCTGATTTATTGTAAGTCTGCGTGCTTGCTTCTGCTTTGGTAAAATTGAAATGTGGTGCCTTCAGTCTCAAGGGATTGCTTGCAGGGGTGATTAGGTTTTGGATTTATGATTTGTTAATGAAATTAGATGTCTTGAGCTATTGTTGATGGCCTTTTATTGATGAAATTGAAATGTGGTGCCTTTTGTTTAATGATTTATGATCTGTTAATGTCTAAATTGCCTGTTAGAGAGTTGATATCTGCCATTCTTTGGGTTGTGTTGGGAAGTTTTAAGCTGGTGCCTCATCTTCTATACGTTTTGAATGAAATGGAAAAAACTTTGGAGATCGATCTTGCTTGACTTTACTCTTTACTTTTCACATATTTTAATTTTAGATAGGCTGCCATGCTGCTTGGCGATATGCTTATTCCTAAATTTATGTATTTTCCAGTAAAAACTTACTTTGAAAAGCATCAATTCTTAGCAATTGCTTGATGCAAGGTTAAGAAAGAATGGAGAAGAAGAGAGAACAACATATAGTCCGCAAATTTTATCAATTCTCTTGCTACCTTCAAAGTCGCGTACAATTCTCTCTCTATATTCTTAGCGGGGTGTTTGAAATTACAATAGAAATTAAAAAAATATATATATTAAAAAAATATTTTTTATTTTATAAAATTTATTTTTAATATAATCAATTTATTCACATTCTTCGTGGTTCCATCAATGTCTGTATCTTAATAGTCAAACAAGCTCTTCCAACAATCTTGTTTAATTGAACTGTGCTAGTTTCTCCCTTCCATTGTTGACTGCATGTCCTTCCACGCCGAGGCAGGTCTTCCAAAGTGACTGATTTTCGGTCTCGCATGTAACTTTTACGCTGATAAGATGAATTGATATTTTGATTTGCTGTATGGAAATGCTTGCTGATTAGGAACATGAAAAAACAAGGGTCTTGCGGTAATGTCAACTTTAGAGTTGGATTCGTACCCTTAAAAAAAAAAAAAAACTTTAGAGTCATACTAGATTGGTAACCCTGTTACATTACAGGCTAAATCTTTTTTTTTTTCAATGTGAAAAAAAGTTAAACTAAATTCTATTTTCAATGTGAAAAAAAAGCTTAGGTGATTGTGAACAAATACAATCACAAAAGAGTTGTGTTGTTTGTTTTATTGGATTCAATAATTTTGGTTAATTATGAGAAAAAAAACAATAACAAATAAATTAAAAAAATAGATCGAGTTAAACTATAAAACCCAATGTATTTTATATGAAATTGAAATAACTTTATAAAAAAATTAATTGTAAAAAAAATCTAAACTAACATAAATATTACATTACAGGCTAAATCTTTTTTTTTTTTCAAATCTAAACTAACATAAATGAATTTTTTAATCTCATGATTTAAATTTTCAAATTGAAATTCTCATAAAAATAAATCTACAAAAATCAAGAAATTAAAATCTTAAATAATTAAAAGGAAAAGGAAAATTCCAATAAAAAAGGATATTTTTTTTAAAAAAAATCAAACATAACATAAAAATAAAATAAAACATTGAAAAATATAATTGAAAAATAATTCAATCTACAAAATCATTTAAAAATAAAAAAATCATAGTCAAAAGGATAAAATCAAATCTTACAAGTAAAAAATAAAATCAGAGAATTTGAAAGAAAACTCAAATTTTATAAATTATTTAAAATAAATAAATAAATTAAAAAAATATAAACCAAATATATATAAAACAAATCAAATAGTTACTTTAAAAATATATGGGAGTAAGCACGTGGATCAAAGAGAGAAACAAATGGAGAAAAAAGATTGATGACTCAAAAACATGCATCACTCAAAAATGAACAATAAACAATATTTTTATATATGCTAAAATACTATATTGCCACTAATCAAACTTGATAATAGTGAAAAAATCACTAAATCCAAGTCAAAAATAATTTGAATTCAAGTACAATGCAGTTGTTTTATTGTACTTTTAAAATGAAAAGGATTATTAAAAATAAAAACCCACCTCGACAGTTTATTACGTTTTGCTTCAAATGGTATGTTAGTTATTATACTGTAAAAATCAAAAGACTGCCAACAGCTTGATATATATATTATTTCAATTAACAATGTATATCAGTCTAGAGTTTTTCTTTTTTAAAAAAAAAAAACTAGTAAAATAACTACCCTTTAGTTTCTTCTAATAATTACGTGAACTTGACATGATGGATTGTTTTGCTCGCCCAGGATCTTGAGGATCACAGTTCGACAACTTCCATAATTTGTAACGATTATTATGACAATTAACAGCTCTTTCTGTATGTATCAAGGTGACGTTCAAGCGGTAAGAACTTGGCCTACTAAGACATGGACAGGTTTTAGGATAAAACTGTTTACTCTTAGTTCTGACTTTCTGCTGGGAGCCTTTTTCTTTGAAAATAGGATTGGTTCTTGGTTGTGTTTGATTATTGCCTGCGGACAAAACAACAAAGACAGCACAGATAAAAAGAACTTGTTTTTGAATACTCATTGTCTTAAACAGAGATCTTTTCTACAGCTATAACAAAGTTTAATTTTGTATGTTTCTGTATCTTTTTGATCGAATATGTTTATATCTTTACTGTTTTTATTTTTTTATCCTTAAGTATTATTTTAAATTCTATTTTGCTTATGTAAATATCACTTAACAAACAGAGGGAAGTTGGAGCAGCCATCCCATAGGGTTTCTTTAATTAATCTGTGTTGTTTTTCAACGGTAGCTTTTCAATGTTAGAAATATTTTACTTGCAGAAGTGCCCTTTGTGTTTCTTACCTGCAGATAAAATTCATAGATTGTGATTACTTTCATATTCTCAGAACTAATTCCTAAAACAGTAATAATTTTCTTAAACCACAGTTGTCTGAACCGTCCAAAGCTCTGATTACAGGTTCGTTGAGTTATTCTATCCATCAGCTGGCAAACTTATATCTATTCTAACTGGTCAGCCAGAGCTCCGGTTGGTCAGCCAAGTCTCCGGCCAGTTAATTTTCAAACCAAGTGAAAAAAACTTAATTTGAATCAAGCTACGGTCAATGGTCATGGTCGGCAAGTGGTCAGGGAACCCAAGTTTAATAACTATGCATCAGACTAAATAATATCCCAGTGTCCCAAATTCATGTATATAAATCCCAAGAGAATTGATTTCAATGGTCCCTTGCTCTAATGAAGAAAAACAGAGACTCAATAATTGATAATAATAAATACTGGGTTTCTGCAGCAATGTAAGTTTTCCTGTCTTGAGAATCAACATTCATCTGATATTTCTACTTCATGGGCCTGGTGAAACTCAAGTAGGGCTTGTACTTTCCCTGACATAATGCTTTCATTCTGAACAGGACTGAACACAACTCGGTAGCCACTTTGCCATTGCCTGTTCTTGTTTTTCTTCGCTGCAGTTTTATTTTCCAATGTTAGAACTTTCAGTTTTATTATTATGGTTACAGCAGTTAAAAAAAACAGGGATTTTTAAATGTAAACATGGAATTGGATGGTGGACCAACCCTTGAGCTGGTGACAACAAACAAACAAACTGGACCTTGTCCTAGTTATCATGGAACCGAATCTAATCATGTATAGATTCTCAGAAAGTCTAGCGATTTTTAAAATTAACCCTTGTTCTTCGAGTCAGAGTAACATCATGCAAGCTTGGTAATTGAGTAATTAATCACAAATTTGGTATCTGTTAATTCTCCCCTGGTCATAATTTGTAGTGATCGACAAGATTGTTTGTAGAGTCAAAGAGCTTACGTAATTTATTTTATTTTTTCTCTGTTGGAGTTTGCGTATGCTAATTTCGGTGGCTTTGAAATCTTGCAGCGGCGTATCCTTATCCTACTGAATTTACACCCCAACCAGCTGCCTGTGATCCAAACATGGATGATCAATCCTCCCAGCAAAATCCTATTCCTGTGAAGACTAAATCCACGGGATGGTAAGCCCACTTGTCTTGATCTATCTCTAGAGGGATTAGTCAGCATAATTAATCTTTACATTTGAGTGTAAAATGAATTATATATTGTCAGGAAATGTGGCCAAATAAATATTTAGTGTTGATTTTTATTGTGTATTTGATCTTTCTTTTCTTTTCTTTTTTTTCCGGTGAAGATCACGTGTAATGGTTTGTCTAGTACCGTGGATGCGATTAAAACCGTGTTACGCCTGAGTCATAGTTTTTTTAAATATTTGTTTAATTAATATATAGTTATTTGTGGATTTTTCATAAGTGAACCATGCAGAATGCCTAGCATATTTGTTCATGCATAAATGAGATAAAGTTGAGTTCAAAACAATATTCAAAGAATCGTCTTTAAGTAAAACTTTGTTAAGTGAAGTTCCATGAGTAATTATTCTCTAGGATTCAAAACTTTCATAAATATATATTATCTTATGCTATTAATTAATTTTAACTAAAAAAATAATAATAATAAAATTCAAATTTATAATCATTTAATCAATAAAGATATCATATTAAAAAATCATCTCAACTCACAAATTTATACTATTAGATGAAGTTTCTAATACTTATTTTATATTAATCTTTAACGACTTGAATAACCTAACAATAAAAAATTAGATTTTAATTTTACAACATGATTTTATAAATTCAGTTCTATAAAAATGAGTTCATTATAACCGGTCAAGTCCCGGAAGAACTTAAGTTAGGCTTTAAAGGTGCTGTTTCAATCAATTTTATTATTATTATTTTGATTTAATTTTAGATTTTATGTTGTCTTTTTTGTTATACTTGTTAAGATTGGTTTTTGGTAATTTTAAGAAATTATAAATCTCTTTTTTAAAGAGAAGAACTACATTAGAAAAAAAATTTAAATTCAATCAATTCTATCCACTTTTCAATTGATATATTTTTTATGTTGTTCATGTCTACATTAAAATCCTAATTAAACATCTTTCAAGAGTGTAAAGCACGATACCTATGAACTACTTCATTTTAATATTCATTCTATTCAACCTAAAATTATTTGAGAGGTTTTTAAATTAAAAAAAATATTATTATTTTAGTAAAAAAATAATTGATTTAAATTAAGACCTGGCCCATACTAAATTTCTAGTCAACTCGAGTCCGGTAATAAATCTATCCATCAATATACATGTACTATACACTTACATGGTGAATAACTAAATGAAGCCCGGCCCAATTTATTATTAAAAAATACAAGCCACATGCAGATGTAGCTAATAAAATTTTAAAAATTAATTGTAAAAAAAACCTAAAATTCTGAGAATAAAATTATTTTATAAAAAATAAATCTAAATAAATCATGAAATTAAAATCTCAAATAATAAAATCTTAAGGGATTGAATTGCAAAGAGAAGTTACAATTAAAACTGATATGAAAATAAAATAAAATAAAACATTGAAATACACAATTAAAAAGTAATTTAATAAAGAGAATGACCAAATCTTGCAAGTAAGAAAAAATAAGAATTTACAAGAAAATTTAAATTATTTAAAAATAAAATAAATATAAATATAAATCAAATGAAAAAAAATAAATCAAAAAGGCTACTTTAAAAATATTGAGTATGCATCAACTGGAGAAAAGAGAATGACGGAAAATGATTGATGGCACAAAACATGAGATTTGCCGATTGGATGCACCCACCGTCCAGGAATGAAAAGCCACAGCAAAAGCTGATGTTTGGTCATCAGATGACATCATATGCGGAGCTCATAAGGCACGGGCACACCCCCACTCTTCCCCATGACTCATTTTAAAATTAAAAAAACAGTTTATTATTTTTCATCTTAAACTATATGTTTATTATTTTATTGTGAAGAAGAAGAAAACCGCTAACCTGAGGATCACAGGGCGACAGCTTCTATAATTTGTAACGATTATTGTGATAATTAACAGCTCTTTCTATTTGTATAAGTTGTGATAACATAGCTTAAATATATACTTGGCGGAGCTCATAAGGCACGGGCACACCCCCCACTTTTCCCCATGACTCATTTTAAAATTAAAATTAAAAAAAAAACTGAAAAAACCCTAGCTGACAGTTTATTATTTTTCATCTTAAACTATATGTTTATTATTTTATTGTGAAGAAGAAGAAAACCGCTATCCTGAGGATCACAGGGCGACAGCTTCTATAATTTGTAACGATTATTGTGATAATTAACAGCTCTTTCTATTTGTATAAGTTGTGATAAGCTTGTTTTTGAAAAATAATTTTTGAAAAATTACTTTTAAATTTTTTTTAAATTTATTTGATATTAGAAAAGTTGGTCAACAGAAAACATTTTCTGGTCAATAAAAAACATTTATTTATATACCGTCTTAATAAGCTGATTATAATCTTGGTCGTTATGGATGTATTCTCTCTGTTTTTTAATACATATATATGAATGTTGCCCGTACACCTTTTTAGCTGTGTTTGTTTTTCGAAAAGTAATTTTCAGGAAAACATTTTCCAAACTTTCTTGTGTTTGTTTGTTGTTAGGAAGT